GCATAAAACAAAAGCAGTTTTTATTTTGGTTTCTATTCCAGCTCAAACTTTATTTTTATTGAATTCTTTTACTAAATTTTTCTATTTTTCTACTAAAGTTAATTTTTGGGGATGGTTGTTTGGAAAAAATGTCTAAAATTTTTTAAAAAATTTTCCAACCACCACTACCTATTTCAGCATCAAACACATGGCATTCTGAGTAAACCTCAATATTTCATGCATAAATGATTTGATGGGTAGAAAAAAGCTCTTTTCTATTTTCTTTGATCTGTTTGTCTTATATTTTAATTGTTCTATTCGTAAATTTTGAAAAATACTAAGTCCAAAGTATACATCTTAGTGTTACCAGGGTTCATCTGACGGTTCCCAACACACCAGACAAACAAAACAAGAGAAGCAGAGAACTCGATCATCGCCAGCACTATTTGGTTGGTGATAAAACCCTGCTTCTGCCATCTGACATGGCAGAGCCCATCTGAAAATAGAATACGTGGAGACAGTATGAATATCTTTTGTTGCGATTTTACAGTGTATAGTTTAACAGACCTGTATTCCATATGAGGCCAGTTTTGAAATGTAAGACGACGGGCTGCTTCACTTGCCATCATATCCTTATTTAGACCTTTCCACTCCGGTGAGTAATCGAAGTTATAGGGATGATCTGGATTTAACATCAGCTGCAAAAAGATTAAAATTCAACAAATCTCAGAAGCTAAAATCCAATCAAAATTTTGCTCTGCAAATTTATATCAAAGTTATAGTGAAACAGAGACAGAATAAAAACGTACACGCACGCGTTCTCCAAGTGTTGAAATGTAAGGCCAGACGAAAGACATCCATTCCGGTGGTACTTCTGCATCATTGTTTTCTCCAGGAGTTTCCAAAGGCCGTAATTGTTCAAGTAATTCTTTGCCATTTGCTTCTACTACTACTGATTCCATCTACAAAATGAACTGTGAACTAAAATATTCACTACTGAACTTCAGACGTTGAATACTTCGTAATTTATATTCACCAACATGATAAACCAAGTTTCACTGCACCCTTCCACAAGACTTTATTCACACTATTAGTTTCCATCAAAGCATCAACAGAAAAGCAAAGAAATGTCCAAAAACCTAATGAAAATTTAAAAGTAATATAAGGGAAGAATTAGCAATTATTTTAGACGACTTTTATATTATATAAGGAGGCACTAAGTCTCATTGCGATTGAAACATAGCGTAAAATTCACAACTTCCAATTGCAATAATTTCGAGACATTTCACACTTTGAAAAAAAAAAAATTGTTCAAAAAGATCATCATCAGTGTATTCTAGAAAACATTCTGTAATCATAAAAAATGTGATGTAAATTTACAGTTACTCAAAAACAAACATACAGTGTTAGGAGACAAATTTGCTACTGCGATGCGTAACTGTGATATAAATTTACGTAGGGCAGGTCGTTGTTTAAGAATATCTTCTGAATCAGTATCATTTGTAACTATCTGTAGGAATTTCGTAGCCTACAAAAAAAAAGACACATGTGTCTTGAAAATACTGAAAATATCCTTACCAAATATATAAAAAATTTAAAGATTAATAAATGTATTTCAATATATATTCCAAGCACACAAAATTTTAATTAGTCTTTCCTTCACTACCATTTGATTCAATATGATCTAGTATATTTTATATAAGTGATAATTCATACAATGACAAAGATCTACCTCATCAAGTGGTAATTCAACAGAAACAGTTTTATTCGATGGTCTCTTCAGCGCAGTCTTAAGAAGAAATGTACCACCATAATCCTGACGAAAGCAAAGCATTTTGGAATCAGCAACTGCCAATGTACCACTATGCTTATTGTAAATTATCTGCAAAACATAAATTTATAAAGTGCGTAAAAGCTGCATAGCATCCCAATGCTATATGTTTTTAAAACATTAAAATGTCAAATATCAGCAGTGCTGGGCCTGGACTAATTAATTCTCAAAACCAGCACAATATAAACCTAAATACTGATCGATTACATACCCGGGCATTTGGATTTAAACGATATGTGGCAAGAGGTGATGTGCTTTCAAAGGTTGCATCAAAGATCATTGTTAAACCATTAACACACCGAAGCAGTATCTGATTTGTTCCATCTAGATAAAGTATTTCCGGCGAATTCAAGGCACTGTAACTGAGTGGCAGCCTGCAATTATTTCGCTGCTGAAACTAATTCATAACAACCTCACCTTTCAACTAGAATACTAACACTAAATTCAAAATCATTAATTTAAGTAATGCAGATTTCTGACTTTACAAATCTAAGCATAAAGCCAAATCAGTATGTTAGAAGAAACCCACTCCATAATTGGAACCACGATGAATCGTTCATCATTGACATTTGAAGTGGAAATATTATCGTAGTCAATCAGATCAGTTAGTGCAGCAGTAACATATCGATTTGCACTATTGCTCATTCTTTTATGATATAACCATTTATGTCAGAAATAGTCAATACTTTTTTGCTGCCCTAAAACGACAAACCACAGTTTAGCACAATATTCATAGTTAAGGTGAGTTATTTTGCTATCCTTATTCATCAAGTCATTTATGCATAGTGTGATCCGATAGTAAATGGATAGATAACTATCCTATATTCGCAGAAAATCCTTCATTCTACAGCTTCTGAAAAAATTTGCAATAAACCATTTAGTTCATATTTTAACAGCGAATTCCTGTAATGATTGCACTTATAACAGTTGGAAGCAAATTAATTTAACATCAAAAAAAGGAGCTCTGAAACCATAAAATGTAACATATTAAAAGAGAAAACGGGGATAAAATATTGTATTGTGAAACACAGTACAAAGTGACAGTGAGAGTTACTGGTTATCCAACAATACTCTGCTTGATCAGAAGAAAACCAAACGGTTGTAAATCAGTAATGACATGAATTACCTCAACACAATAAACCATTTGGAGAAGACAACACAAATGTTACCCGCCGTAATCATTGCAAAACTTCCCTGCAAAGTATCTTACCCACCACATGGAGACTTTCACTTCCCAGAAGACATCCACAACATATACCAATCGTTTCATATAAGTCAAACATCATGTGGCCAAGTTGATAGCTCGACATGAAAATCGTAGTCCCTCCTCATGTAGATAGCACAAGGTTTGTCAATTCTTCCCAGACGCACAGTGGTAGGTCTTGCGTGGAGGTACTTAGAGCTAGAGCGGTGTGGATGTCGATCGTTAAGGGTGAAGTTAAGCGTAAACATCACTTAGCAGCCATGACATACGTAATATAACTCTATTACCTATGAATACTTCCTAAATATATGCTTCTCGTGATGACGATCTCCAAGAGACTTTTGGAGAACTCCCTATATATATATATATATTCACTGGCTTCTCCTTCCACTGTTCCCCTACTGCCTTCTTGTTATCTTTTCTAAAATCATACATGCTGCACGTTAAAAAACACTTCTGCCACATGGCTGCAATTACGAACAATTCTTAAGTACCAAGGAAGCCCCATCAATCTTTTTTATAAATGCCGTGTGTCCTTCCCTTACTTTAGCAACTTTTTCTTGTGCTCATGCTGAAACATCAGTCTCGGTTTAAAAAATGCTGAGAGATCTGTCAATTGCATCTTTTAGAGGTCAGTTAACACATATTTGCATTTGTAAAATGTAGAATGTCCTACAGTTCTTTTATACCTTTTCTGGTTCATTGAAAAATAATATTATCAATAAGGCCTCGACATAGCAAATATGTAATGAATTTGAAAATTACTAATGAAAGAGGAAAGAAAGTTAAACGGAAATAAATTTTGGAAAACCGTAAGATTTCCAGAATAATGATAAGGCATTAAATTGTTTCACATATGACCACAAAAGAATGAAGACGACATCATGATGACCTTGTGTTAAAAAACATAAATTAATCGGATAGTATACCAAAATTCTGGGACTTTGGTATAAATAGTCGTACAGAATTTTTCTTTTGTAAGTTAGAAAGACCTGGCAGTGTTATGCACGTGTCATAACAAAACAGTGGTAATTAGAGAATGAAACTTGGGAAAAGAAGCTTTACAAAAAATCCCCACATCATACATAAGATTAAGAGAAAAGCATTTTTCGTGCTGCATTCTTTCGTCTGCTCCTTTGAAACCCAAAAATCAAAAGCTTTTAAATAAGTTTACGTTAAAATATACATCGGAGCAAACCATACTTATAACTAGTGCTGCCAAGAAGTTTGGTCTCAGTGCTACCAAATCAAATATGTTTCGTTCCTTGTTCTTGTCTATTTATCGGCTAAATCTTTTATATTTCTTACTCTTCTTTATGTTTATGTCATTTAAATTATTGCTTCTATTATTTCACTTATTACTATATGCTTCGCTGATGCATTTTAGCAAAACTGTGATCAAATCAGATAGCGTCCATCGATTGAATAAAATACATACCACTGTATTTGTTGGTCAGGTATTGTTTTGGCATTTTTGCAGTAAAAATCTTGCTTATCTAGGTTTCTTTCAGAAGGCCAGTCTCACAATTTATATTTGTAAATGAGCGGTAACTAAGATAAATTGCGCAACTGCACTAGAACACTACACTTGATTGCATAATGTACTTAAAGTAATTTTTTTTTCATTTCCTTCTTTTAGTTTTTTTCTTATTTTCGACCCCATTTTTAAGTATATGATGTTTAGTCCATTAAACAGCAATAATATGGTAGTGGTTTTTGCTTTCATTTCCCAAGTTTATCCACAAAATTGTATTATTTTACAAAGAAAGGTGCCAGGTGTACCTGATATCACCGGCCTCCTGAAATGGAGCATTTGAACGAGCGTATATTCTTCCAAATCGTGAATACATGTACACTGGAACGATTAGATTGTCAGTAAATCACCATTTCAATAATCATATATCACTGGTTTGGTAGCACCGTATCACTGATTTAAAACATTTTATTGCATCACCATTCCGAAAAGATACGCATGCATAGTATGTGTCATCGGCGTTCACGCGTTCGTTTTTCGTAAGTGAGAAGATTATAGAAGACCATCAATAGGAAAATATTCGCCACCGAAAGTACGAGCGGCATTTTCCATCGTATTATCCACGCCTACATAATAGATTGTATGTTTTTTTTTTTTGAAAAATGAGGTTTCGCTTTCAACATTAAAAATCAAATGAATAATTTATTCCAAATCACCACGATTATACAATAATGAGGAATCCGAAGTTAGCTAGCAGTAGTAAATGGATAGTAATGGCATATACTCCTATGCTAAAAATTTACAAACGACAGTTTCAGCGTAGTGTAAAAATAATGGGTTAATGTTAATTTTTCATTATTTCGCATTCCTTGCTTACTGGCAAAGCGAAAGGCAAGTAGTCTGCAGTATAAAACATGGAAATTTGAAGTTTTTAAAAATTTATCGAAGAAAAAATATGTTTCATCGAATTTCATCATTCGTTTTCAATAAGATTTAAGTAAACATGAGAAGACGATTGATTGTAATTTTAAAACCTGTGGAAAAATAGTAATCTCTCCACACGCCGTGAAATTATCATAGCAAAAAGAAAGCGACTAACCTTTAAAGCAGGGTGGAATAAATACCGAAGAGGATTACTACGCAACAACTGTTCTTCCTCAAGAAGGCGTTGCAATTCTTGGCGTTGTTGCGAAGCAAGTCGAGCTGCTTCCTCTCTCCTTAGATGCACTCCAGTTACTTTAAGTTCGACTAGATTTGGCAATGAGCCCCGTCCTTCAGCCTCTTCGAATTCATCATCACCGCCGCTACCCCTTCGTCCTCGCCTCACTACATTTTCTAATCGTTTATCACTAGCCGTCGCCAAAGTCGAACGCCTATATAAATTCTGCAACATTTCGTTTGCAAAATTCGCTTACATCATATTAAGATTAAGAGACGTGAATAACATGGAAAGAAATAAGGTTTGAACCTTTATGAAAAATACCGATTAACCAACAAGTTTAAAAGAACATATGTACTCTTGTATTTCACTTGTTCACGACCCAGAAAAGATTAATTTTGTCCATGTTTCATTTGAATTTAGAATAAATTTTAACCATCTTGGTAATTTAAATCTTATCTGCAGAAACAGTACTCATTAATGTGTTACGGATAAAGTCAACAAATATCATTACAGCTTTTGTTTGAAATTTTGCTTAATTTATTTTGACCATCAGAACATATACACTGAATAATTGTTGTTGGCAGAAAATTACTGACGTTCTCTCTGCTATCAAAATAAAGGTATCAATGTTTGATGCCCTTTAGCCCAAATATGGAGAGCAGATTTCTTGCCTGCGAAATATCATGCACAGCGAAAGGTTGTCTCGTGAGTGAAGGCCTATTCCTATGTATTAATCCACTTCTGCTAGTATTTGCAAACATCATATACTGGTCGTAGTGATCATCACTGAGAGAAATTCGTGAGCTGCTTTGAGCAGCATTCGTATTCTACAAAATGATTAAAATGATATATTTAATTTATTACGATCACAAAATTAATTTTCCTTGCTTATTAACAATCCCCGATATAAGAACCTATACTGTGTCATTTACGCCAAATAATCATGTCAATTTTAAAATCACTCCTTCATAAAGAAGTCATAATATACTTGTATATATTTAAACAGCAAGATATCTGGCCGTAAATGAAACTATTCCATGGATTCCAGGGAGCACAAAGCGATTTTTTACCCTCAATCTCTAATTGATTCGATGCTTGTCGATCGAAACAGAAAACTAAGAATAATTTGAGGTATAGGATACCTGTAATAAACTTCTGGAAGATGCTGGACTGATATTTTCAATGGAACGTGGATCCATAGTGCCATTGCCGAACTGACGCTGTTGTAATTCACCAGCAATATTAGAAGTCGTATTATTCGGTTGGTCTAAAGAGGTTATATCGGAATGCAAGATGAACGACTGCTGTTCTGGTATTGCAAATCCTGTACCTGGGTATGAAGCAAGCAAATTCTGTTGCTGTTTCTGCTGATATAGATGTGATACATTGAAATTATGATGAGGCACTGCATTTGCGTGATACGATGATGAAGGGGAAACGTAGGGCACATGAACAACCGGTAGAGGTGTACCCGAAATAACAGGGAGCTGAGTGTTGGGCTGATAGCCGCCAGCAACTTTATGTGATGAAGAAACATTTGGCAACATTTGATATGAAGTTGAACCAAATGTGGAAGTTTGTTGCTGACCCGCATAGCCAACTGAATTAACATTGTGCTGCTGCTGTTGTGATTGTTGCTGTTGCTGGTAGATTGATGTTACACTGCTAGTCTGAAATCCAGAACTACTCTGATAGGCACCAGGATTGGACTGATGGTGCTGCTGAAATGAAGATATGTAATCAACATCTGAGTTAGCCACAATTCCTTGCTGATAGGAACCTAGATTGACCATTAGCTGCTGAGGTTGGTATAATGTACCGCCTGGAGTATGCGATTGTTGCGAAGGTGAATGAATGACTTCCGATGTGGCACCTGGTAAAGAAGGAGGATTCAAGATGACTATTTCATCGGTGAGGTCACGCGATTCATGGGAACTTTTGGAAGTGGGTGGTGAATCGAAAGAGACATGGTTTGTGTTAGTAGTAGTAGTAGCATTATGCTGCTGTTGCAGGCAATTCATCTGAACTCGAATCGCCTCTGTACCCGGTTGCCTAAACTCCGGAGCAAATTGTTTCGCACACATCCTAGCTGTATCAGCATCTTCACGAGCTTGCAGTGCTATATAGTCGGCTTGCTCAGAGCGTTCCTTAGCTGTTGCTGTTCGTGATACAGCTATGTCTGCCTAGAATTCTTCACAAAATTTATCGTTACCTGACAAAATTTCATTCATTGATTTCTTAAATGTTTTTCAACACATTGATACGAGATTGGGAAAATGATAACGAAAACAGCATAATAATGAAAATTAGTTTCATGCAAAATTAACGTTCAAATTCTTCCTCAAATATTCTCCTATGTCTCTTTATTTATATAGCTTTCGTAATAAAAATTACTATGACAAGAATATATCATTCTATTAAGACAATACTTTTCATCAGACTTCACTATTTAGGAGATCTGACAATAAACTTAATGATAATAAGCAAAACTGCTTAGATATTCCCATTAACTTTTTTTTTTTCATATTCTCATTAATTGCTAACAATAATTATGCTTGGAAATGAAATACGAATTACAACAAATAAACATTCGTATCCAATCAACTGCATAGTGCCACAAAGTCATGCGAACAATGATTATCATATTACTCTTTACAAAATAATGGAAGAGGCAAACCTTCTGTTGAGCAATAGTGGCAGCACGATTGGCAGCTTCAACAGCATTTCCAACACGTTCTTTCAACCTTGATGAGCGTACAAACAGCAATCCTTTCTTACGATTTGAGCATATCAATACATTATTTTTGTACTTTCCTTCTTCTCTCCTGCACCATAAACATATTTTACTTCTTGCTCATTATGTTAACAATAAAGTGTTTTCTTTGCTCAACAAATGAAACACTTTATTGATAATTCATTTTCCTGCCGCTGACTTTTCTGGATATTTTAGTCGCTTAAGCGTTAGTCAAGTCATACTACCTTGAAACAATGTCAAAACAAAAAGTAAATGAAATCAAAATGGCTAAATGCCAGATAATGGACAATGAATTGTTTTCTAAGCAAATAAGCCGCACTTGACCAGTGATAATTTCACTTCATTTTTCCACTGATTTTATTAGAACGAAACTTTACGCCAACATACATTTTAATTTTAATATTAGATGACAACAGCTAAAATTTTTCAGGAAAAATATGTATCTCTTCCTAACCCGCATTTTTTGGTCGTTCATTCTCTAGCATGCATAAACATTCACTCTTACCTTACTATATGGCAATTATTAAATAGGATTTTTTGGATAGTAATAACATTCATGATCTTAAGTGATGGAATAACAGAGAAAGCAAAATAGCAGCATAAATTAACTGCTATAACGTTTCGGAACACAGTTTCAATACTGGACGAAAGACTTACCAACCGACGTCTAACTTACGAGAAATAACACATTAGCGGTAAAACAACTGCGGTAAAAAGATATGACATGAAAAGTGAAATAAGAAATACGTTACTAATTTTGAATAGCAGAGTGAAATCCTAATATTTTTAAAATTGTCAAAGCAATCAAAACTTATTGAGCTCATCTGTTCGAAACATATCAACACATACAGTGTATATTGATATGTATTCATCAATATCAGTACTAAAAAAGATATAGCTCTTAGGTGTATTTAGCACTGACCTATCGACATTTTACTCAACGACATTAAAAGATTTGTAGTCGACTATTGTATGATAGGACTCTTCTATCAAGGCAATAATTATCGCAAACCTGACTTAATCCACAAACTGCAAATAGCTCTTCACAAGTGGTTGACTTACCGGCCATCTCTAAACGTTGTAATCCCATAGCCACATTTTCGATTGTTGAACCATTCCCCTTCATATTTCAGGCCATCGCTTCGTTCACCAACTCCAAATCCACATCGTTTATCATTTTTCCACTCACCTTTGTAAACTTCAGTCGTATTCGGCTCAATTTGCTTTTCCTAAAATTTTCATGTTCAGCGAAATGATTCCTGGATTAGTGGATAGAATGTTTAATTAATTGATGTGAAATCATTTTAGAAAGAATTTTGAAACAATATACAACTTTGTAAGCTTACTAGTGTATCAAATTTCAGCTTGCTAGTGGGAAGACAGTATGCTACCGTAATCAAGTATTACAATAGAAAAAAAGGGAGGAATGAAAAAAAAGAACCTTAATGCTAGACAATAAAATACGATATTTTAATTAATAAATGAAGTTGCGTTTCTACCTTGTTTGTTGTTTGCATCCCGTTGCAAAATAAGCTACAGCGAAATTATGCTTACATACTATTCGATTTTTTAAAGATTTATAACAGTTCATTAATGCTGGGGAATTTTAAAGATCATAAATCAGACGAGGAATTACTTCAGACACGACCAGATTCTCCCGTCCTTGCCGATGTTCCGATTCATCTGATGTGCAGCTGACGGTGCTACCGCTTGATCTTAAACTTCCTATAACAAATGATTTTAATTTTTCTTGACTAGAAAGAAAAAGCTGCGGTCACAAATCCATCGAAGTATCAACCGCATAATGCAAACTACACTAAATTAACAGAAATACCATCATTAGTAATAATCATGATTAATACTAACATAAGGACAAAATCAAATGTAATACCATCTTAATCCTCAATTTCATTTAATTTGTAAACTATAAATTAATCGTCCCATAGGAACTATTAGCCCTTAAACAAATCAGTTTATTCAAGTTTAGAGCTATTTGATGTCAAGAAATAACTTCCTTGAAAATAAACAGCTTCCAATAATTATTTTTATCTAAGAACTAAGCATAAGAACTCACCGGTAGTGACATGTTGATGTATATCACCGGTTGAATGTTGTTTTTTGATTCGTAAACCACTTAGGATCGTTCGCTTAACAGCCAGTGAGCGTTCCGAAAGAGACCGACGTCTAGTAGGAGCTTTACTACAAGCTTTCAGCACAAAGCCACCTCGATTTTCGTTTGTTTCATCTACAAGTTTTCTGAGGAAAAAAACAAAATTTTGGCTTTTGGAAAGAATAACGAGATGTATTCAATATATAAATAAGATTTTTTGTTAATCTATTTTTTTAAGTAGAACAAGTCATCTATGTTGAAATGCTGAAACAATGGCATCTTATTATTACATATTTTTAGATGAAATCTTGATACATCTGTAACTGCTTAACAGTCCAATTTCTGAACTTATTCCAAAGCTTTACTCTGAAGATTTTTTTTTTTTAAAAAAGCTCACAATATCAAATTTGAACTGATTAGTGCTTTGTGAAAAGCTGCTTCAATATAACTATGATGTCAGAACAAAATTAATGACTCTAAGATACTGAAAAGACTTTAATCCATAAAAATTTATTCAATTCGCTTGAAAAATTTTCAGATGATTAATGAACTGATATGCTTTTCGCACCACTGATTTTTCCACTAACTGCAGTAACACCAGCTGACAGTGAGGATGGTCCCCTCCCCTTCAAGCTGTTATCCGATATTGCATACTCCCTCACTTTAAAACACATTTCATTGTTGATTTGTTCTAGCAAACAGGTACATCCAGATTTACTACACTACCACATCATCTTGTCAATATGCTGCACTAAAAAGAACCACATACGTAGACACCACAAGGAAGAGTTACTGTCAACAACAACTTATTACATTCTTTCTGCAGTCTAGTGCTAGAAAAGATTTCTGAACAATTGAACTCTGTTCAGAAATGGAACTATACCTGCTGTATAGCTGCAGTTGGCACTGATTCCAAAATTAAATTCCAAATCAAATAATTTTAGCCAGTAAGGCACTATTACTACTATGTCTGTAACATGCTTATATCAACAATTTTACCTAATTAAAATTTTCACGAAAATGAGTGATGAAAATTTTGCAGTTAAAATTTTGAAATAAAAGAAGTAACATCAACTGAAAATAATTATATGCATAATTGCTCAATAAATGCCTGAAGCAATAGCCTTAAAATTATTTGCTCAGTTATATAATTTAATAAGAACAGGAATTCGAGATTAGAACAGAAAAGTACCATAATTCTTCTTCTCGCTCTCCTCACCTTCGCCGTACTCAGATCTCAGTGAAGTTAGGGATGCATTAGTACGTGACCGAGATCGGAATTTAGCTGCTACACTATGCTGAGCACTTTTCCGGATACCATATCCATGTCGCATACCACGTAACCATTGTCCTTGATAAGCACCTGAATGCACTAATTGATTCCACACTAGCGAAATGTCACTTTTTGCACGTTCTTTGACCCTTAATAACGAGATCAGAAATTTGAATGTTTAAAAAGTTAACCAAAAAACTTTTAACTGCTTTTATTTCGTATCCCTGATCTGACTAATGTGCTGATATGAAGCCATAAAGTTCTGCCAGTTTCATCAAAAATGAATCTATTAAATTGATTTTTGTGAGACAATTCGGTTAGCATTATTAACATCAAAAGAAAAGCTCTCAAAATCATAAAAGCCAAATTTCCCAGATGATCCTCTTTGTATTGACTTGACTAAATTTTGAAAAAAAAACACAAAAAAATTTTTAGTAAAAACTATTATTCACCATTAAACTATTATTCAGATCACTTAATCTTATAAAACAAAACAAATTAGCATAATCATCTATACAGGTATATACTGTATACCAAAATGGCAATTAATGATCATTAACTTTTTAAGGTTTAAAACTTGTCTTCTTAAAAATAAGTAAGTTTCAATACTGCTTGTTAGCAGATTTCAATTCCTTATTATTTGTGTCTTAAATTTCTAATTTATGTCTTCATATTATAATTTTCTGTGCATGTCATCATTTTATTTCATCGTTTCCTACTTGAATCTTAACTTTAAAAGTTTAAAGTTATGAAATTCTTCTCAGCTCTTTCTAGCAAAAAGTAAAATCAAATTTTGAATCCAGGAAATAATTTCAGAAAGTAATGAATAGCTAAAGGTCTTATTCGAGTCAATACTCGACATTAACTGTGCAATAACTAACAGTATTGTCAATAACTGACTTCTCAAATCATAAAACATTTTAAAGAAAAAAAAAAAAAAAAAAATGAAAGCAGAAATGAACACTACGAAACTATCACTTGCCTCCATCGACATAAGTTTCGGTGCCATAACCATCGTGAAAACCTGCCGACCAGGTACCCTGATATCTAGCTTGTGAAGTTATCGACAACCGATGTCCATATCTGCCTTTGTATCCTTGAGTCCACTCACCTTTATAAATCCAACGACCGCGCTGCTCGACTCCGAGCCCATGGCGTTTCCCATTCTGCCATTGCCCTTGGTAAGTATTCCCAGACGGCCATGTATAAACCCCAGATACCTGAATTACGAAAACTTGAAATGAAAACCTTCATATTTATAATTAAATTATAATTCAACAACTGTCTTCAGAAAAAAAATTTAAACATCAACACAGTCCATTTTCTAGCGAGTAAGATAGCAAGAAATACTACAGAAAGTACTGTAGGAATAAACAATGTTTAAAAGTTGCTAAACAGTTTGCTAAAAAAAGAAAACGAGTTGCTGGATAATCCTTAGAAGCCAAAATACCCCCTCCTGCAACTTCTGACATCCAAGGCTTTTCAGGATGTATTTTTTCTACGGTCTTCAAAAAGTTTGTATGAATTCAGCGTAATTTTATTTTGTATTTTTCAATTTTCAAATGTATCGCAAAACGCCTCATAGACTTAGCTAAGCACTGCAACTAAAATAAATGGATCAACTAGGATGACTTTTGAATGCTCATAGTACCTTTCATGTTAAACTATTCATGAAATTTAATTTTGTTCCGACTATTTATGAAGTTATCCCTCATTTATGAAGTATACGTCAAACGTGATTCTTTTATTTAATTACGACATTCATACAAGCATAATCGTTGGCAAGCCTTTTCCTATATTTTGTAATTTATTATATTCACAAATTCATAATATCAAATGAATGAGGTTAAGTTGGATGTTAGTCAATAAATTTCTCAAAAAAGCACCTCGAAACCGTAATGCCAAGCTCCGGCATATTCACCTTTGCCTTGTGGACCCGTGCAAACACCATGCCCGTGAGCTTTGCCTTCTTCCCAACCCCCGCAGTAGGTACCGCCATCATCAAAGTCAAATCTGCCACCGTTCATCTCAACGCAATCAGCATACCGTACCTCATACTCGATTCTGCAGAAAAGACGTGAATAAATCTTGAATGAAGTGGAATATATCGTAGCTGTGCAGAGGTCAAATGAACAGGATAGTTAAGGCACAGAGCTGACATAACTGCTGTCTAAACACTATGTGCGACTGCTTAGTAATAAGTCACTGTAGATGTAAATAAATATATAAACTGAATGTCTGAAAATACTAGTTTAAATTTCATTGTATCCTTTAGCCGTTCGTGTGACACTTAAACAGTTATACCATAGTGGTGTTTAAGGGCTGGGCTTAATAGATCCTTTTTATAGAATACTGCGGAATGATGTCCAGTAATTTCATCAAATTAATTTTATGAATCGAAATGGAAAAAATAAAATTAATTTCAAGACGAAGCAGCAACATTTTAAGATATTACCAACAAACACAATCAATTAACAACGCATATTAGCTGTTGTTTACTAAACGAATTTTCTTTCAAATTCCTACGCATCACTGGAAATAGATAATGCTTTAATGAACAATGAAATTTTTACATCTTAGAGAACAAAGAATTAGAGAAAAGAAATTCAACAAGCATCTTCAATTCGATCAGCTATTAAAGAATATTTTACTCGCCCAATGTAAGCAGTAAATAAAATTGTAAGTTGGAAATGATGATTTACTGATCAAACTCAATCGTTAGATATTAAGCGGAATTTCTCTTCGTATCAGAGGAAATTAGGAATCAACGAGCAAGTGTTTTATCATTATCTTGAAAGCTATCACACCATGGATATCAACCTGATTCTCCAATGACTGTTCTAGATTATATAATCAGTGAATGATCACTTCTCGCTAATCAACTTTCATAACACAATGATATGCTACCCCTATTTGACATATTTCCTCTTTACTGTCCTCTATTTCTGAAGTATAACTGAAAACAATAGTTCAAAGTTAGGCATTCGTCAGAGATCAAGAAAATGACAGATTTGAAAAAATTGGGTTGAAAATTTCCTTACTACCTTCCTCCGCTCTGAATGGGTTTTAAGCAGAGCAATTTCAGCAGTTAAAATGTCACGTCGAAAAAGGTCCTTCCTCCAGATCATTTTCTCAATAACACGCTATACCATTTGTGAAGTATCCAAACCATATATATCATCTTCCAGTAAATTTTTTTAAGTAGTCATTTCCTTCTTGCAATTACTGAATTTCTGTTGAATTTAATAAGGTGCTGCCAGCTGTTTTACTTTCGGTGACCGAACATAACATGAACCATATTGTAGAGTTAGTTTAAATATTTGAATTAATACTCAGCATCGTTAATACTACAAAAATATTACAGGAAGTGCTCCATTCTGCAAAGGATAGGACATGCTAATATAAGAAAACAGTTAACAATCATTTGATATTAAAAAATGTTCGACCGAATAACTTAAGATAGAAATAACATACGTCCAGTTACAGTAGCCTGAAATCCCGTACTTAGGCTGTAATGTACGCCGACAATAGACCTACTGATTATTAGATAGCAGCTTGACTTCAATGATGAGATTCGGGAACCAATGCTTCCACTAATCCAACTTCGACCAGATGTAACTGCACCCTTATGTAATTGTCGAAACACCGATAAGGTAGATGTGGCAATTGATGAGGAACACGCGGATTTTGCAAGAAGTAATGACAAGGAGAGAGAAAAAATAAATATTTGCTAATGTAACATCAAATAATGAAATAAGACACTGCGATAGAAGGGAAAGGGACTGAAATCTTTTAATGAAGATACTTTGTCAGCTCAATCCTAATGAATACACATTAATATCATTGTTAAATTTCCGAACTATATTATCCTGCTGGAAATATCTCGCTTCTTCTGTGTATTCTCTCTTTTCCTTTCTATTATAAGTATTCACTGATCATTTGAGTTTATTATTGTTGATATAAAGTACTTGTGCATTTGCATGGAAATTCCAGCTCAAGAAGTATCACTAGATTCTTGCCGTTTGCTTGCATTAGAGCAAATCGCATTTTATATGATACAAAGAGACTACGACAGAAATGCGACTCCCAAATGCGCTCAGTAGTCACCGTACTTCTATGAGAATAAACAGCGAACTTTTCTAAATGATAAAGACAAAAGCAGTTAGTCCATTTCGAGAAATGGAACAAATTTTTTATAGTTAAAATTGAAAGAAAATGAGCCGTGCGAAATGAAATATAATCTTAAATAGCAGGGGAAAGTGGGAATTGCAAATCAGGAAATTAGGGTGTCGTAAAATTAGCAGCATGAGAAGTGTTATTCATAACAATTATTATTAAAAGACTGGTAAAAAAAATTAAACTAATGGCTGTCACGACCATGTCTTTAAAAAAATCAAGAAAACTAGACTATGATAAATGATATTTGTAGGAGATAGCAAATGAGATTTTGAATTACAAGAAAACTTATATATGATCAAAGGATTGCCTGAATATACATCAAAATGAAAAATGGTTAGTTTTAAATATAAAGAGAAATACTAAAATGATAGAAAAAAATTCGAAAGTTGAAGATTCGAGCTACAGGATTTTTAATCAGTTATAATGGTTGAAAATGAAATTTGCAACAAGCAACTACCAACAAAAATTTTAATGACTTTCTTATAACTTGTAAGAGAAAATAAGCGCTAACATTCGAGGTTGACTGCTTCCTTTCTGACTTTTTTAGAAGGTCAAAGCTAATTACTTACTTTACTTCAAACTGAAATATCTTTCCCATACAAATGCATTGTTTTTAGTCGTGAAAATTGAAAATGACTATTCTTTAAAAAAGATAACTTGGAAATGCAAATGCTCGTGGAATATGTGGAAAAGTGGAATTTAAGTGGAGGGGAAAGATGGAAGGTACAAGGGAGAGGGGATGAGATGGATCAACACTTTCAAATGACTTATCCAGTTCAATACAAACGTACAAAGAGAGAGGGAGAGGAAAGGAAAGGAAGAGAGAAGGAAAGAGAGAGGGAGAAAAAGGGAGAGAAAGAGAAATCTTGACAAGACGTGAAGTTCAGTGGTTCAGTGTGGAATTTCTTCTACTTCGGGATGATATAATCGATGATAATTTCAAGGGTAGCCAGATTTCTAACACTGCCATTTATTCACTCCCTCTCAATCCCAATTGCAATCGAAGAGGATTGATTAATCCAGAAGAAAGCAACCGCTAGTTGGTTATTGCTAGCGCAGTTTCAACTACTTTCTGCGCTACTCCGTGTTCTTCCTCCTCTTCCAGTGGCCTGATTATGAGTAGTATATATATATATGTATGTATATGTGTGTGTGTGTGTGTGTGTGTGTATGCGTGTGTATGTCTGTGTAGACACGTATCTGCGTATCCGTATGCATCTTTTTGCTTCATCTCGGTATTTATAAATATTGAGTAACTTGAAAGAAAATCTAGACAAAATCGGCATAGCTGAAACCCTCTATCTTTCACGATTATAAATGAAACCAAGGGGAAGGTGGAAAGATATGAAGACAAAATAGGAGCATGAGTAAGTAAGAATCTTTCCTTTACAATAAAATTCGATTTCAATCGAATTATTTTGATAGGATTCAAAAAAAAAGTCAGTGCTAATTGGAATAACATCCAGCGATTCATTAGTCGTCAGCTGGTGGGCTACAAATTGTATTCTGGCCTAAAGGAAGATAAAAGGTGTACAATGTAGGCTGGAAGAATGTAAGAGGACAGCCTAACAGCTATCGACTATTAAATATCACTTCGCAGTTAACAAAGCCTCCACTCATTACACTCAATCACTCATAGTTTAAACTCCACAAAATAATGAAATGCCTGTTTGAAGTGATGTACGCTTAGGCGAAAATACTTGTAAAACTTGATGCATTGTACATATACATACATAGCGAGAGAGAGAGAGAGAGAGAGAGAGAGAGCGAGAGAATAATACATGCTTATTACATATGTTCAAAAGGTGTAGTATAAGCAGTTAGCAGTTAGCAGTAGTAGTAGTAGTAGTCGTAGTAGCAGTAGGTAGCTGGAAGAGTAGGGACTACTAAATCAATGAAGCAATGGAATATCTACGTGGTATCATCAGTATGGTAGTGAGCGAGCTTTTGCACCCTTCCTACCGCATACCCAGAGCCCTCATCTCATTCACAGGCGTAAAAGGCTGCTCGAAATGTGGCGCTTATCTTCTGCTACGCCTTCTTCTTGCCACCGCTACAACGCAACGCAACGCAACGCATTCCTAGCTCATTGCATCGTAACATCCTTCCTGATTTGGAACGACGGAAGTGAGTAGAGCTGCAATATGGTCATCACTTGTTATTATGGTGTAATCATGTTAGCCGCATCTTTGGCTAAGATAAAAGTGGTAGTTGAAACTTTTAACTGGTTAAGGGTCAACAGATTATAACTTTGAATCAGAGAAAAATGCTACAGAAATAATTTTTGGAGAAGAAAAGGAAATAGGAAGGGAAGGAAATATTAAGTTGGCCCAGCACTTCCAATCGGTGACTTCTGTCAAGTTAAAGTTGATCGAGAAGTGTAAAGTACAAGAATACATTCAATCATAACTGTAAAAAGGATCGACAAAAGGAAATTTTCTTCTGAAGCAACAACTTGCAATGAATTGTTTGACAATGATTACATTAGATTAGGCAACTTCATAAATGGATTATAATGATTCCTTTGAATTTATCACTTACATGTTATTTCATCGTTCCATTTGAGTTCTCACTAAGTTTTATCAAAAAAAAGCAAAACAAATATACATCACTTTCTGAACAGTACATGGCAGACCATCAAATCGGTTTTACTCAAATCCAGATTTTAGGTATTTTCTTTAGGCAAGCAGTCAACATTATTTGTACTTTCCTCCACCAATCTTATGCAGCCGGAATTTCAGTTTGGAATAACAGCTTACTTCATCATTGTCATATCATCCACCATTCTTTTCCATTAAATTGAATATCTTTTTGATAAAATAGCATTAAACTTCTTACATCTGCACCGAATTATTATTAAGCATTAAAATAATATCATAAATAGGAACTTTTAAAAGTTTGACTTAAACATTAAATGATGATGCGTACGACCTATAACGCGAAGTGACATTATACACAAAGAAGAAAATGGAAATAAAATAGAAATCTCAAAAATTTCAAAAAGGATCATTAGCTTTGTCATCGTTAATGAATTCTAATTTCTGAATATGAAAGCACGAATCCAATCACTGTTCTCAACTTCAGTAAAATGGAACTTGTTTATAAATTCAAACCATTCATCGTTATTCAGAACACACCAGCAAGGCTGAATAATTGAATCGCTTTCATAGAAAGCATTTATGAGAAAAACTGTCTTTAAAGAATTATCACAATATGAACAGCTAATTTTGACTTGTTTTTAAAATAAAAGCAATTATCAGCGATAATCACAGCACACATTATTCTACCGCGTGCAGTATAATATTCTTCCCGCAATTTCTTTGTAGTGATGGAAGTACCAGGTGACTGAGATATTGCGTGACAAATATCACGCAAGAATGAATATCGACAAAGAGAGCAAGACCCATGGATCACATGAATAAATGCTGAAAGCTTCCTATGTTAGCAGTGATACTTAACTCCAGGTGGGATAAAATGAATGTTTCGCGACTGAGCAATGCCGAGAATACAGGTTCTTGGTATAAAAAACTTTCGTGACCACTAATTAATGAATGAAAGTAAGTTAACGATAGATAATTCAAGTTATTTATTACTGCTACAAATTACCAGCCTATGTTCTGATGATCAAGTGCACAGCTGCAGCATGACACAAGGTGGATTGTTAAGGAATCAGTTGTGTACTTGTATATATGTAGTGAAAATAAACCTCTATAATGATTAAAACAAACTGGTGAGAGCGTGAACATGGCTCGTGTCCTTACGTAACCTAGTACGAATGTTTTTAATGATTAAACCTAGCGATCAGCAGAGTAGAGCAAAGATGAATAAATCAAGATACTTGAGCCTTCCACGAATTATTATAAATATTGGAATTGAATTAGGAAAGGTAAGAAAGGCAGATAAGAGGGCGTGAAACGTGTCTGCTGCTAATATTTTGATGATTGGTCTTTACTAGTACTTGTGACATAAAGTTACCGAGGGAAAGACGATAAAATGAGTAGTAAGGCTCAAGTGTGCTCTTCTTCTATTTGACAGTGCTAATATTCTGGTTTTCGTTGAACAGAGGACAATGGTTATTATCTTCGTTCTGCTGGCTCATCCTGTCGGTCTGTAAACATTGCTACACACTGCAGTGAGAAGCTAATCTTCTAGAGGTTACTACTGCTAAATGTTTTGCAAATCTTGGCATATTAAGAATATTGGAGACAAATAAACACCTAGCTAGTTACATGGATGTGAACGAGAAGTTGTTAAGGTTAATTAATCGATGCAAGTAGATATTGCTGCCGTTGCTGGAGACAAGGAGGAGGATGAGTTCAGACAAAGATTAGTTCTTGAGAGAAGTTGGAATTTTTACAAATGAATTAAATAAGGATGAGGAAGATGAGAGGTGGAGAGGATGCAATGAATTGCAATGATCTGTCCGAACTAAACAGAGACTGTTTTGTAGGAATGCCTTACACCTCTCTGTGTTATTGATGATGTCAGTGTGATAATAGCATTGATACGATTCTAAACCGGAAACAATGATAACAGTCTGTTTGCATCCAATTTAAACTATTCGCCACTCACCTTTCCTACATTTGAGTATTATATCAGCTCCTTACCACTGCTACTGATTGAAGATGTGTTCCCCAACAATCATGCACAATTATCACAACGATGGAAATGATTGAGAAATATCTTTGGTGATAATTCCATTCCCAACAAGTTTTTTCTTTATAAGAGCAGCACTGAACCTTTATTTCCAATAAGTTCTTGAATTTTCAAGTAATGGTAGAATGTCGAGATCAAAAGAGTACTAGAGCCTCACCAAGTCCTAATTTACATCATTCTTACTCTACTTGCCGTATATATTCGTGCCAATGTTTCTGCATTTCATTGTGATACTCAGTCCTCGGGATTATGACTCTCATAATTCTGA